CGTGGGGACGCGGTGTCCTGGCGGGGAACCGTCCTGGCTGCTCCTGCCCTGCCGAGCTGCAGCACCGGTGAGAGGATGTGGGAGCACAGTCCTGTCCTGGCACCGTGTCCTGAGCTGGGCCCCAGCACGGCTCAGGCTGGCCCCAGAGACAGGGGGATTGGGCAGTGCTGGTAATCCTGCTGCCCCCAAGGGATTACAGCTCACTCTGGCCTGGGGATTAAGGGATTTCTCTAAGCAGGGTTGATGCAGCCTCCAGCAAAGCAGCTTGTGCCAGGGGCCCTCGCTGTCTGGGGCAGGGTGGGCTGTGCAAGGTGTGGGGATCCCCAAAGGAGGGTGGGCTGCCAGCTCTGCCGCAGGCTGGCTGAGGGCTCCTCACCCAGGCAGTCCCTGCCCTCCTCGCCACCAGTCTGCAAAATCCTGCTTTGCCAATGGGTGCTGGCACCCCTTTGGTGCAGGCTTGGCTGTCCCATGCTGGGACCACGGCGTGTCCCATGCTGGGACCAGGGAGCACTGCTGGGGGAGCTGCTGCTGGTGCCCCAGCCCTTCCCTTGCACAGTGTGGGGTCAGCCTGGGCAAGCTGCTGTGCCCAGCCTGGGAGCCACTCTTGCACAGAGCTCAGGGATGGACTCCCAGGTCAGAGGCAGAGACAGTGCTGGGGTAGCAGTGAGAGACAGGCTTGGAGAGCAGTGCCAGGGACTTGGGCAGAGGCAGTTCCTCTCCTGAGGTGTTTGGAGCAGAGAACAATGAGCCCTGCTGGTGACACTTGCAGTCCTGTCAGGGCTGTATCTATGGTTTAAACACCCCACCTTGCCTGGACAGGCTGCAAGGACCCAGCCAGGCATCCAGGTCACTCTGTGTGGGAGAGGCCACCTGGCCCTGCCTCATCCCAGCCACAGCACCCACGTGCCTGTGCCACACTGGGGTTTCTCCAGATGCCAGTCCAGGCCCAGGCAGGAGCACGTGTCCAGCTCAGCCTCCCCTGTGCCCCCGGCTCCCTTGGCTTGCCCTTTTGCCTCCTGGTGATGTGGCAACTGCTGCTCTGGCCCCTGGGAAAGGGGAAGTGGTGTTGAAAGGAGAAGGTCGGTCACATCAGCAGTGATGGCCTGGCTGCCCTGTCAGCTGCCCTTCTCCTCTCTCTCCTCCTCTCTGCAGTCAGGGATCAGGGACTGCTCCTGCCTGCCAGGGTGCCCTTCCCCACTGCCCGCCCCGTCTGGGCTTCTGCCTGCCCTGCTCGAGTTACTCCTGGCTCAGCGATCCCGGTGCATGCAGGGCGGGTGAGCGGAGCTGTCGAGCTGCTCCTGCCCTGACAGGCCCTGGGGTTTGTTACTCATGGCCATGCCCTGCGCTCAGGATCGCTCCTGCTTTGAGGAGAGGAGCTGTCAGTCCGGTTTGGGTTTGCTCAGTGCCTGTGGGCTGGGAGGGTGGTGCATTT